TGCCCATATATGGGCACATCACATTTTTTTGTCACATAAAATTTGATAGTGTAGACAAAGCTTTATTGTGCTGAGTTAGCATATGGACGTGACCAGTAAAATATCCCAGTTGCCATAGAGATGCTCTCAGTAGTAGTCGCATTCTTCCACAATGAAAGTAACTGATTTAAACCAGAACACTGGGTTATATGTACTCTTCCGAAAGCTGCACTGGATTCTTTAAAGAATACACAGACCTCAGTTTTTGAGTCCTTAACCAAGAAGACATGGTTCTTACAACTGAACCATGAGCGAAGTACAGTAATTGGGTCTGGAACTACTGTACTCTGATTTTAAGACCGTATTATATATTGCAAGCATCTCTGTCTTACCAATCCACCACTTGTGTGTAATTTATTAATGAATTGATAAAAATTGTATTTTATTGCACTTTTTCCAGAGTAAGGCTTTTCAAGTGAAACTGATCGGGCACTCTCATAGTACAGTACTGTACAAACAAATAATTAAAGATATGTTGAGTAGTTGTATTTAAATGAGAGAATTATTTGAGTAAATCAATTTATATTATTAGTCACATTTGTTGTTAAATTTGTTAATAACTTTTCTTTTTATAATTTGATGTAAATAATATGTCGCTCTTATATAGCGCTTCATGCACAATGCCTCTAAGCGCCTCACATTACTACCTCGGCCGTTGGATCAAACACATATCGAACACATACTCATCTCCCTGGGGAGAATTCTATAATATTGCAGCTAGTAATCAGCGCAGTTGTGTTCGAACCTACCAGGTACCCACTTGTACTCCTGGGTGGAGAGAGGCAACCGTTGTAGATAAAGTGCCTTGCCCAAGGACACAAGCGATTTGCACAGCGAGAGTTTCGAACCCCCGACCTCGAGGTTGGGAGTCCAAGCCACAACCGATGCGTCAACCACTTCTAATGTAAAGCGCATAGAGGCACTGTGCAATAGGGGACTGCGCAATATAATAATTGTCAATTTATATAGCGCATAATGTAAAATACTGCTATGCAATATGCGCTATATATAAATGTAATTAATATTATTATTATTATAGGTACCACGATATGGCAGATGTTATCGACTTTCTTGTGCTGCGTCAACATTACGACATTTCAATGCAGCGTGATTGGAAGGCGGGTGACCGGTTCCGCGCAATGATTGATGATGCATGGTGGCTTGGAACGATTGCATCCCAAGAACCATTTCAAGAAGACTATCCAGACAGCATGTTTCAGTGTTTTAATGTGAAGTACGTCATTATTTTCATATCAACAAACAGTGTTTGATAACATTTAAAATTTTGTATCACTCACAGACTAAAATTGTAATTATAGTAGATACCTAATCACTCTTGTACAGTTCACACCATTGTTCATAAAATCTAATAATTTGTTTTTTTTGTTCATTAGTTGGGATAATGGAGAAAAAGAAAAGATGAGTCCATGGGATCTGGAACCTTTGGATGAAGACAGTAAGTTTATAAATCATTGTATTAGTTTCACTCGAACATGTGTATGGTAAAGGTAAAAGGATATAAACAAACAAGCAAAGCCTATTATGTATTCTGTGTTCAGTTATTACCTTTCACATAGACATGCACAGTATTCGTTTGAATTGCAATTCTATTTGTTTAGATTTAACCTCAACAATAGCATATTAATAGTTGGTTATCATTCCTTACTCCACAGACATCCCTGAAGAAGTTGGTGGCAGTGTCCCATTGAACGATGAAGAACTCCGCCAGATGTTGTACTCTCCAGAAAATGGAGAGTGGGGCAAGAGAGACCAGGACACCGAATGTGATAGAATCATAGCTGGGATAGATCAAGTGTTACTCCTTAGCGAGGCAGAACCTTTTAGTACGCCCGTGGATTTGGATCAATACCCGGCTTACGCTTACGTTGTTCCATATCCAACGGACTTAAATAGCATCATGTCAAGATTGGAGAAAAGGTTCTACAGGTAATTAAAAAAAATTTAGTTACTTTGAATTGTATGTCAGTCAGTAACAGTCAGTGGCATATCTAAGATATTGGGGGTAGGGGTGGCTGATGGGGTGCAAAGGTGAAGTGGGAAACTTGTTGATTAAGTGAGGGGTACTAACTCGCAAAATAGGGTGATATGTGGTGATTTATAACTACTTGAGCATAATTTTTTTGCTTAAAATATTTTTAGTGGGGGTTGACTGGCTGCAAGCTTTTTTGAGGGTGTACGCACCCCCCCCCTCCATGCACCTCCCTAGATACACCACTGGCAGTAGATTCCTCTTGGAATTATAGAATTGGCAAAGGTAATTGAGAATACAGTAGTTAAAACCCATGTATATTTAGTGGCACCCTGCATATCAAACTAAGAAACTTGTCTAGGAATATTTTGTGTATCCTGCAGACAACATCTAGAAACCCCTCTCAGATAAATTGTTGTATCCAGTAAACTAGTTATACAAAACCAGGATTTGACCTTTCTTACTCTTTATTTCTTCAGGAGAATATCAGCATTGATTTGGGAGTTACGACTTGTAGAACAAAATGCAA